CTCTTTTTATGGCTAAAGACAACATACGTTTTATAGTTTATATTAACATGTAGAAAGTCGACTTGAAACTGAGGAAAACGTTATAATTTAAAATGAAGCAGCTAGGAGAACTTTTAAAAGGCAATTGCCTCCCCTTCCCTCAGGATCAAAAGTGCTACCATTTTGAAGGGAAGGGAGTTACAAGAAAAGGCTACCAACTTGATATTTTCTTTTGGCTGTAGGCTTCAACGGGCATTCTAGAAGACCACCAAATATTGCACCTCGAGTATCTCCAACAATCTAGAACAAATAACTACAGTTTTAGCATGTAAAAGTGCCATCGTCAGTGAAACTCATACAGTCATCGGATAACATACCAGTAAACAAGGGCCAGAAAGATCGTGACTCTTGCGAATAAGAGTTTGAAGAGATATACCATGCTTCATCGTACTGCCCTTCATTTGAAATGTAATAAATCGCATCACAGATCAAATATAAAACTAAAAAGTTAATTCATTATGGGACAAAGCTAAAATATTTCAGCTGAACTACCTGTACAGTAAGACCCATTGGCACCCTTTCACAATGTTGGGTAGACAACATCCCAGGAAATCATACAAGTCTGCAGTGATAAAGGCCGACTCATCCATGAAGTCTGGTAAGGGGTTTCTTGGGGTAGGGCGCTCCATAGCCTCATCAAATACATCTGAACTAGAATTGCTGTTTCCAGATGGCGGGTCATCATCAACTCCAAGTTCATTCAGTTTTACCTTCTCATGTGCTGAACCACAAACCTTATTTTCTCCCTGATTATGAGGTATTTCTTCCGTCTTGCATAGTATACTACATTCTAAAAAAGCATCAGACCCTTCCTCCTGGAAATTGTTGTTTGCATCACAATATCGACCTGAGGGAGTTTGAACTGCATCGGTATCTTGACGAGAATCAGTGGGTTTAGATCCATGTTTGGAAGGGATTATTAAGGACAAATATGAAGACAGTGATTTTCTTCCTTTCGACGGCCTAACCTACATAATTAAAACCATGTCACAAGCCAACATGGAATCAAATTCACAAATGAATCTGTCGAAGAAAAGGAGATGAGGCATGAAGATCAAAACCTCTAATCATATACTAGTTTCGCCTATCAAGCAGTCATGGAGCTCAATATTAGGGGATGGAGGAACTGAAGTAACTAAGCCTAAGCCATATACTAGCAACTTGTAAGTTACAATTCACAAAACCTTTGATTCTGTTTATCTCAGCCTCAGGCCTATTACCATTTCAAGCACCCAAGCCATTGCAATTTTGTATGGGAAAAAAAAAAAAAAAAAAACCCCAAAAAACTACAAAATGTGAATCAAACATCAAGAACACTTCGAGAAACGCAAGGCCTTAAATACCTCAAACATAATTCCTCCTGAGTCATATATCTCGTTTCCTATGAATAATTGGACCCATGAGAACATTAATACTAAAGAGTACCCAGACATTGTGGTCTGTGGCAGCCCTTCTTCAAAGCCCTAGATGAAATCATTAATCCCATTTGCAAATAACTCACAAAACGCCGAATGCCAAATCATACAATCTCTATAAAGCATACAAAACCTTCCAGCATATCATTCAATCACAAACAATCGCACAAACAAGCTATCAAACATAAGACAAAAACGAAGAACCTGAGTATGAGGATCAGGCGGCAGTGATTTAGAAGGATCCGAGCTAGTGGAATAGGAGAAGAGGCTGGAGAACCTCCCGTAGAATTTCTCCCTCAACGCATGCATTTTGGTCAAACAAAAAATATCAAAATGAAAAAAGGGTAATCGATTGAAGTTTCAAGCTGGGGTTTCTTCGACCTTCAAGCTTCTGTGTGTTGTTCAAGCTTTGGGTATGGATTCCCCGTGTTTGAAGAACCGAAGAAGAAATAGAAGGAAGCGAAGGCGGCCGGTGGAAGAGACGGAGGGATGGCGTGTGGTAATGAATCACTCCCGAAACCGCAATCGGTTGCAGAAGACAGAAAGGAACTGATAAATTATGGAAGGAGGAGACGAGAGATTCTCTGTCAAAGATTTTCACACTCGCCGTTTCGCGCTGTTTTTGAAACGTCTTTGCCATTTGGCTTTCGCGTATTCCACTTTGGGATCCTCAAATTATAATTTTTATATTTGGTAGATTTTCAAACTTAAAAATGGTTAAAAAAAAAAAAAAACTTTTAATTTTATTTATAATATTCTCATTCATTTTAGAAAATCACATAAATGTTACATTTTATATATATACATATAGAGTAACCGTTCATATTATCTTCTTCGAGTTTTCTCTTATGGACTTTCCCTCGAAGTTTTAAAATGCATCTGGAGCCAGCTTCCTCGCTGAAACACTACTCGGTGTCTAACTCTGATACCATTTGTAATAGCTCAAATCTACTACTACAATGTATTTTCTGCTTTTGTCCATTACATAGAAATGTATATTCAACCCGACAACTCGGATCAACCCAACCAGATTGGATTGGGTTGGGTTCATTTTTCTGAACCCGAACCGAATTGATTAAGTTTCTGGGCAAAAACCTTTGGGGAGCCAAATAAAATACATTAAATATATTAAGAATTCTTTTGTATCGATGAATTTGCTAAAGTGATACTTAGATCAGTTTAATAATATCAACGCATGAATTCGATGCCAAGCAAATACATGTTGCTTATAATTTTTGTTACTTTTCGGTATTTCGTTGTTTATTTTTCAGTATGTTTTCAATTATTTTTATTGTTTATTTTTCAGTATTTTTTATTTTTGTTTATACAATATCGTTGAACTAATCATTTTTATTGTTTATTTAATTCATGATCATCCTTAATATTTTTGTTATTTTAACCAATTCACAAGAAATGTCGATATTTCGTTGTTTTTAGTTTTATGACAATATTGAGGTCACGTATAAACATATTTTAATTAAAATATTTTTATATATATTTTTATTTTTGTTATATACAATATTTTTAAACTAATCATTTTTATTGTTTATTTAATTTCATCATCTATCTTTACTATTTTTGTTACTTTATTCATTTTTATTGTTTATTTAATTTCATGATCTATCCTTATTATTTTTGTTACTTTAACCAATTCACAAGAAATACCGGTATTTCGTTGTTTTCAATTTTATGACAATATTGAACTATGTTAGTATGTTACAATTTTCGTTCGTTGTTTTTTATTGATTTTTTTTTTTTTGAATAATTACAGACAACTCGGACCATGTACCCCTACCATTACGTATTGTCGTTGGCCTCACGATTTTAAAATAGGCAAGGAGAGGTTTATACACCCTTATAAGATATGTATCGCTCACATATTTAACCAATATAGAATATCACAATATAAAAAAAAAAAAAGACAATACTTACGAGTGGTAGACTTGAACTGTTACAATAATCTTTCGAGTAGAATATGGTATACGTCTAATATCACACACGACGTATGAAATGAGCTCAAAATCATATAAATAAAATTATTATTTTCGAAAAATTCCAACAAAGTAGTAAGAAAAATAACCATATAATTCAATATATATTTATTTGATTATCGCGTAATTTTATTTATTTTTGGCACAAAATGCGTGAAGGAGGCGAATCTTTAGTATTTTTCATGGGCCAATGGGGCCCACTAAAATATGGGCCTACTTCGGGCTGGATCTGAGCTGGCTGTTCGAACATTTTCGATCATTGGAATAAAACTAAAGAATTGTTCGCAAAACCATTGATCAATCATTTCAAAAGCAGTTTTTTGTTCATACTTTTCAAATTTTCTTCAAATAATTATGCCCCGATAATTCGTAAAAAACGACTCCAATCATTTTCGGTGAAAAAGAAGCAACGACGATATCGAGAAAATAAGTATATGCTAACTTCATCAAAGCAGTTGCAGTATTATAAAGGATGCAAGCGTTACCCAAGATGATCATGCGTAAAACGTATGTAAGTAACTTTTTGTTTAAGCTTGTCGTGCACGTAGGATCTAACTCATGACCATGACACTCGAAGTTAGTGGATAGAATGTCAATTATAGGAAAAAAAGAACTCGATTAGCCCACCTCAGTATTTAATTATTAAACCGATCCACAACACTTACTAGGTATCAACTAATCTTCAAGCCCACCTCGGTATTTAACTATTAAATCGATCTACAACAGTTACCAAGTATCCATTAATCTTCAAACCCACCTCGGTATTTAACTTTAAGCCAATAGTTACTAAGTATCCACTAATCTTCAAACCCACCTCGGTATTTAACTTTAAACCAATCCACAACAGTTACTAAATATCCACTAATCTTCAAGCCCACCTCTCTGTTTAACTAAACCGATCCACAATAGTTACTAGGTATCCACTAATCTTCAAGCCCACCTTCGTATTTAACTATTAAACTGATCCACAGTTGTTACTAAGCATCCACTAATCTTCAACCCCACCTTAGTATTTAACTATTAAACCGATCCACAGCAGTTACTATGTATCCACTAATCTTCAAGTCCGCCTCGACATTTAACTATTAAACCGATCCACAACCATTACTTGGTGTCCACTAATCTTTAAGCTCACCTCAGTATTTAACTATTAAACCGATCCACGACAATTACTAAGTATCCACTTATCTTCAAGCTCACCTAAGTATTTAACTATTAAACCAATCTACAACCGTTACTAAGTAACCACTAATCTTGAACGCACATGCAAATAATATATTAATATCGTTTTAGGATTAAACTCATTTAATCAAATGGAATTTGGCATACCATAGTACAAATGTAACAAACAACGCTTAAAATAATGGAAATCACTACTCTTCCCTTAACAAACACCCAGAATTCTGTATTTTTAATTCTACATTTTGTTCTCATTCTCCATGGAGACCTTAAAACTTCCGTACTTTAATGGGGTTTGGGTTCACTATTTCAGTATCTCAATAAAAATGACATTTCCCCCCAACTTTTTCCTTCTCCCCAAGTTTCAGTTTCTGAGTGGGGACTGAAGAGGAAAAAGATTCCCCTCTCTCTCATCTGCACATTTTAGAGAGAGAGAGAGAGAGAGGTAGGCTTTGAAATGGACTAACCCTCCATTTTTCTTCAGATTCAACCAAAACCCATCTCTCAAATCCGAGAAATGTTCCATTGAAATCGAAATCTTCCCATGATTTGAGGCATTAAAGATGAAATCCCAGATGGGTTCTTACTCCAAACCCTTCTTGTTCTTCTTGTTCTTCCTTGTATTCCTTGTTTATGTTGCTTGTTTGGTTGAATCTGGTTCTGATTACACCACTTTGGTCTACAAGGGCTGCGCCAAACAAGGATTCTCAGATCCAAATGGCGTTTATTCACAAGCCCTTGCTGCTCTGTTTGGCTCTTTAGTTTCACAATCTGCCAAAGGTTCGAAGTTTTACAAAACCACTTCCGGCACCGCCGGAACTGCCATCACTGGCCTCTTCCAGTGTCGAGGGGACCTCAGGAACTCCGATTGCTATAACTGTGTAAGTAAGCTCCCGGAATTGGCTGATAGTCTGTGCGGCAGAACCGTTGCCGCTAGAGTTCAGCTGTCGGGCTGCTATTTGGTGTATGAGTTTCCTGGGTTTACTCAGATTTCAGGGTTTGAAATGCTGTATAAAACTTGTGGGGCTACGAACATTGCTGGAAGTGGGTTTGAGGAGAGGAGGGACACGGGTTTGTCTGTGTTGGAGAATGGCGTGGTGAGTGGCCATGGATTTTACACTACTAACTATCAATCTCTGTATGTGTTGGCGCAATGTGAGGGAGATTTGGGGGATTCGGATTGTGGTGAGTGTGTGAAGCATGCTGTCCAGAGAGCTCAGGTTGAATGTGGGAGCTCAATTTCAGGGCAAGTTTATTTGTATAGGTGCTTCATCAGCTACAGTTACTACCCAAATGGGGTTCCTACGAGATCGTCCACTCCCTCGTCTTCTTCTTCTTCATCATATTCTTCATCTCCATCAGGTAAAAACCCAGAAACTCCCCCATCTACTCTACAAATCTCAAACTAAGCACAGGTTTCTGCAACTCATTATTCTAGGAATCTACTTTTGAGGATGGTTGGTGGGGAGTCTCACATCGGCTAATTAAGGGGTGGGGAGACTGTTCGAGGGCTTCATAGGTCTTAGGGGAGGCTCTAGGATTTGTTCGACGAGAGGATGGTTGAGAAAGTGTCTTATATTGTCTAATTAAGGGTCGATCGTGAGTCTATAAATAAGGAATACTATCTCCATCGGGATGAGACCTTTTGAGAACCGAAAGCAAATCTATGAGAGCTTATGCTCAAAGTGGACAATATCATAACATTGTGAGAGCCGTGATTCCTAACCATTTAAACAGAGACTAGATAAACTTATACCACCATAGCTAGAAACATTCCCTGAAGGAGCTCATTCTCATTACTGATAAAAGAGGGCATTGAGTTTTGTTTTCTTCTCATTCTTTGAAACTGAACTAAACTTGTTATGGTAGACTTTTCTGCAACTGTGGTAATATGAAAGGTTACATTTGGTGTTAGGGATGGGGCAAAACACAGGGAAGACAGTGGCAGTGATATTAGGAGGGGCAGCAGGAGTGGGATTTGTGGTCATGTTCTTGCTTTTCATCAGAGGTTTGAAGAAGAAACATGATGGTATGCATCAAAACATGAGTTTGATTCAATTTTGTGCCGTTTTTGCTCGCAAAACTTCCATTGATTCATTGACTTCATCTTCTATCTGCAGATTATTGATACAGGGGAAAGAGTGAATGTTCTACTGAGGTTGGAAAAAGAATCAAATCCCTTTGATCTCCTTTTGCTTTTGTTTTAGAAAGATAATGTGTTCTTGTGGGGACTTGGATTTTTTTGGGTTGACAAAGACTGTTCATTCCACTGGGGTCAGAAGCTTTTCCTGAGAAGAGAAGAAGGAATCAATGCATGGAAGGAATGATACAAAGAAAGAAAAATCAAAACTGAAGGAGAAGTGAAGAATGTTTTTTCTTTTTCTTTTTCTTTTTTTTTTTCATTTTTTTGGTGTATGTTATATATATTTTTTATTTAAAAAATATATAATTATTGCTTCCTTTTCAGCCATGTGGGTGTTTTGTCTCTTTTCTCTCATCTCCAGAATCTGGTTTTCTCTTCCTAACTCAAATCTTATAGTTTTTTTTTTTTTTTTTTTTTTTTTTTTTTAAAAAAAGCTGCTACCTTTAGGATTTCATCTCCATACCATCACTAGGAACTTTTGACTACTTGGTCAAGCTATAAAGAGTTAATATTTTTATTATATTTAATAAATTAGTGAATTTTAACACCTTAAAAAAAAGATGCAACATTGAAGACCTGGGAAATTAGAGCATGTACAATCGTTGTTTATACTTCGGTTCAGAATATTTCCAAACAAGCTCAAAACTAAAAATTTGAAACTTTTTTTTAAAAAGGTCGTATAAACTTCTGGAGAAATCAGAGCTATCCTTAGCAGAAACCCAATTGAAAAAAAAATGCATACCTCAAACTTGGCCCATTACATTTGACTAGCGAGCAAATTTCTCCAATTCTGCACAAACTTCAAAACAGAGGCATAAAAAAGACTAGAAATAGCTTAAGGTAGGAGGAAAGGGAAACAGCAGCACATCATAATTCTGCTAGAACAAACTGGTTTCACTGTTCTCAGTCAGTGAACATGTATGGATTGTCAGAATTGAACAAAGAAATATGGTCCCATCCCATGTTCAGACCATTCAGAGATGCTATAACTTCGGAAAGTCTATGTTGTTTGAAATCGGGTTTCAAATTACAAAAGTTTGCAGTAAAACAACAAAATCATATATAGAAAGTAGCATCCAACAGATAGAACTGATAAACATATTAAGCAATGGAAGTGGCAATTAGAGACTAAATATGAAACAAACATATAGGAAGAATTGGTTGTAGAGTAACCCAGTAAGGAGAGGATTTGAAAAGCTGTTCTGTTAATTTTGAGCCAAATTCTAACAAAAAGAACTCAATAGCTTGTCTGAGGGAAAATAATGACCCAAACTCAATCATCCTAATGAACTTTATTTCTTAGGAACCTGAAAATGAGAACATAAGAACAAAGTAAATCTGGCCAATCAATCTGTAGCTCCATTTTATGGATGCAACATCTAACAAGATCCACAACGCCAGTTCATGAAAGACGAATAATGAAGCAAAACAGTCAATTGGTAGAGCATGAAAAAAATTATGCTCATTTTCTGCTGATTTCTGAGCATCAAGCAATTTCTCACAGGAAACAAACATAAAATAAGTTTACAACAGCTATCAAGAGTTTTATGAGAAGAAAATTCAATTGATTCTGAATTCCATTCATATAATTTTGCAACACAACTCTAACTCTCTAAAACCTCAGTCTCTAAACCCAATCAAAGGAAAAGAGGAACGGCATTGTACGCCATCCACATTCCACAATCAAATTACATCCAAAACCCATAAAAAACCCTAAACAGCAACAACATCATCGAGTAGCCTTAACCTGAAGCCATCAAGTAAATCATTTAGGAGCAGCAGTGGCCGGAGTACCAAGTAGACTCGCCTGCTGCATCTCGAGCTCATTGAACTGCTGCTCGCGATCCATCTCAATGATGAGCGGCACCACCAAAATGAGAAAAGTCGTCCCTGCAATCCACGCAGCTTTACCAGTACTACGGAGGAGTTTTTGGGTAACGAAGGCAGCGTCGGAAGCTGTGCTCTTCGCCCGCCGGACGATTTGGGAATCAGAGACGGAACGAGAAACCCTAGATAGAACGCCTAAATTCTCATCGCCATCGGTAATAGAAGGCCGCTTATTACCCCGAGACGCCATCGGTAATTGAAGCAGTGGAAGGAAGAATCGATGTGATCTAATCGATACACTGATCGCTTTCTCAACAGAGAGAGCTGAAAAAATTGAAACGAAAAATGAATTTAGGGTTTTGGATGAATGTCTGAAAATTTTGGGAAAATCTCTTATTTCTACAAGAAGCCCAATTTCAAACTTGATAAGGCCCATTACACAATTAAATTTTTTAGTCTAAATTAATTTTAAAAAATAAAGTTTCTTAAAAATTAAAATTACAAAAATACCCTTATTTTGATTTGTGACGTAAACTATTAATACTTTATTTAAAAAATACGGTTAGAAAGTCTTATTAATATCTTCAAATTATTTTAAGAACTTCAGTAATAATTAATACCACGTTTCAATAGTAACGAACTTTAAAAAATAATATTAAAAATAGAGATAATTTACGAGATGTCGATCGTTTTTTTCTATATATTTATGACAATTTTTTTAATGAATATTTTTAAATATAATATTATTATTATTTTTAATTTTTTTAAAAGGTTGAAAGGTATTAATAAAAATTTTTAAGGTTTCAAAAAACCTTCCAATAAAAAGCGAAGGGTATTTTTAAAATAAAATATTTACCCTAAAATTTTGTCGTTTAATCAATAATTTTGTCAAATTTTAAATAAATTTAATTTTATAAATTATTTATTCTCGATAACATTTTAAACCTTTGGAATGTAATGAAAAATAAATAAATATTTTACACAAGAAAAAAAAGAGTAAAAATTACAAAATAATTGGAATTCATAAGACCAATCAAAATGTGCCACGTCGGCCTCCAAATTTAGTTAATATCACTGCGAATTTGACTAAAAATAAAAAAAATAAAACGAAATCCTCCGTTCTTGTCGGCCCTCCCCTGCTTTTGGTTTCTACTTCCCTAACAAAACAGGGGAGGTTATCACAAATTCCTTCCTTTCCTTCCTCTTTTTCGGATTCTCCCCTTTAATGCTCTCCCCTCCACCCTCCTCCCCCTCGCCGGCGCCGTTGAGCCGGTCCCACCACTCTCCGACGTCGATCCAGCCACTTTCCCCAACGCCTAACCCTTCCCAACCATGTCGATATTGAACCCATTTCAGCTTCTAGAGCTGAATCTAATTTCCGCTCAGGATTTGGCACCGGTGTCTCGTTCGATGCGAACCTACGCCATCGCCTGGGTTCACCCTGACCGGAGACTCTCTACCCGTGTCGACACTCACGGCCACAACAACCCAACGTGGAACGACAAGTTCGTGTTCCGCGTTGACGACGAGTTCTTACATTCCGACACATCGGCGGTGATGATTGAAATCTACGCCTTGCATTGGTTTAAAGACATTCATGTTGGGACTGTTCGGATTCTTGTTGGGAATCTCTTCCCTACTCCGCCGCGATTACACCAGTTTAGTCAGCAGCCGCAAGTCGGGATGCGGTTTGTTGCTTTACAGGTCCGGCGGCCGTCCGGGAGGCCACAGGGGATTTTGAATATTGGGGTTGCTCTGCTTCATAGCTCGATGAGGAGTATGCCGTTGTACTCGCAATTGAGTACCTCGGCGATTGGGTACCGGAATCTTATGGGGGAGGAGGACCCATTTCGTAATCACCATGGGACTCCCACGGTGGTCACTCGGCCGGAGTTCCGGCGGTCGAAGAGCGATATTAGTTCCATGGTGGGGTCGACGGTTCGAGGCTCGGAAATGCTGGGAAAGGGGACAAAATCCAGAGCAAGTTCTATGGTGAATGGGTCGGAGATTACGCGGAAGAACAAGAAAAAGGGGAGATCCAAATCAAGCTCGATGATCAGTGGGTCCATTACGATCAGAAGAAGAGAGAAACCCAGGAAGGCTAATTCGATGATCAGTGGGTCAAGCTCTGCAATGGTAACCAAGAGGGAAAAAATCAAACAATCCAGCATTTTAAGCGGCTCTGAAGTTTACCCGGAGCCACCGCCGGAAAAACCAGTCCAGAAAATGAACACCGGCGACTCTCCGGCATGGAAAAAGCCATCCCAAGAGAAACCCATTTCGAAACATGGTCAAGAAACGCCGAATTCGAGGTTCGATAAAATGCCTTACGCGACGCCGCTCAGGACTCCACAGAGGCTGACCGGCGGCGGCGGTGGTACTGCCAGAGCAACACCAATGCACGAGAAATATGCGACACCGAGAAGATCAACGCCGATGAACGGGAAATCATCTTACCATAAACACAACGAATTTACCTACACAACGCCGAGGAAATCGTTTTTAGGCGGCGCGTTTTTGACGGAATCGGAGCTTGGTCCATCGCCGTCGGAGGTAGCTGCACAAATGGCGACGCAGAAAACCGACGACAGCAACGAAAGCTCGATTGTTGGTGGGTTGAGCTTAAACGACAGCATTGAGGGTCTACAGTCGAAGCTGGAGCGGTGGCGGACAGAGCTTCCACCGGTGTACGACCGCGGCGAGATTACAAGCTTTCCGCCGAGCGAAGACCATCCCGAACGCCGTCATAGCGACGGCGGCGGTTTATTTTCTTGTTTCAGCAATATTTGCGGCTGCGAATGCTCCATCGTCTGCGGCGGATCGCCAAAGACACCGAAGAAACCCCCCAACGGCCGTGTTACCCGTAGCCCGTCGGCAGGCCATTTGAGCTTCATGTAAAAAAAAAAAAATGGTTAGAAGACGAACCGGTCAAGGTCGCGTTGAACCCAACCGGCCCGCACCGAATTAAAATCAAACCGTAACGTAACAAAACGCAGCGTTTAATTTTTGAAAAAGACAAGTTTGACCCTACAGGATAAGGAGGAAAGACAATTTAGAGAGACAGCCAGGCAGTGTCAGTCACGTCAATCTACAATACGCCATTCTTTCTCTAAACTTGTTTTGGATTTTTTTATTTTTTATTTTTTTATTATTAAATTTCTAATAAATTTAAAAAAATATATATACTTTAAATCTAAAACAAAATGGGGAAGGAAAATTTTACTTCATTTTTTTTATAAATGTAATTGGATTGATTTGTGAATTTTTTGTTTATTTTAATGGAACCATTTGTTCATATATTCATGATCTCTCTATTTTTATGTGTATTCATTTTATTATTCTTCAATAAATAATAATAATAATAAATAATAATTCTTATGTGTTCCTGCATTTTCAAATTAATTTTAATTTCTTTAAATTCTAGTACTGAATTTGTTAAATTGGGATTTTTTTATTATTTATAAATAATATAAATTAGATTAAAGAAAATCATGAAAGGGAACCCTCAATCACAATCTCGAGCTAAGTTAGACATTAGGCAGACCAGTGAGGATATTGAATCTACAAAATGAGGATACTGGATTCACTATGGACTCCAACCCCCGAGTCATAAAGGGTATAATGAACATATCTGTCTCCACATTAGATCAAGAATAGAATTAGAGGAATCAAAAACCGCTAATTCAAGGCCATTGAACCAGCCCAACCAGCCAATATAACCGTATGAATAGGATACCAAGGCAAACCAATGAAGATGCTGGATCCACTATGGATCCTTCGTCGGTTGGAGAGAAGAACGAACGAAACATTTTTTATTACAAGGATGTGGAAACTCTCCCTAAAACCTAAAAAGAATAATATCCGCTGTATTCACTAGAACGGGAACAATTATTTAGTTTCCCATTATTTAGTTTTTTAGGGCACTCTTTTGTTTTTTAAATCATTAATATTATTCCACTTCATCACAGCCAATATAATTTTTTAGGTCAATAAGACAAAGGACCCATGTTTGGAGGGTCACAGGCCCGAGGTACGAGGAAATCATGCAGCAAAATAAGGCTGTCTCTAAAATTCCATATAAATTTAAATCCCATTTTCCATATTATTTTATATTTTTTTTAAGAAAAATTGAGCAAGATAATCCAACTCAGATTATAAGAGTTCCATTGTTAGTCATGTCAACCCACTAATTTGAAAATAGAATTACAGTTCAACCCGACCTAACATTATGCTACTTTTAAAAATATTAAGAATATTTACCATTCGTAACTAATGTTAATAATGTATGGTAAGTAGTTATAATTTTTTTAAAATAATTAAGAATAAAACAACTTAACAATCCAACTCGAAACTAAATATTTGAATTGTGAACTTTATTTCAATTGATCGAGTTACCCATTCGAAATTTTTTATTGGTTCGAAAAAAAAATTATATAGTAGAAAATGAATTTCGTGGAAAAAAAAAAAATATTTCACTAGGCAGTAATTTATGTTTTTTTTTTTTTTGAATTTCACTTTGCATGCTTATGGTTATTACTATGATATAGGTAAAAAAAAAGGCGAATTTACTTTAATTTCTATGGTTAAAATTTTTATAATTATTGTTAAATATATTGTAATAATAAAAGCGAAAATACTCCAAACTTACTTTTCCCATATTCATGCTTTGTCGGTAGCAATAGATTAAAAATTATAAATAAATCTAATTACTATTTATTAAAATAATTAAATTATGACTAATATAAAACGAGTATTAAATTTTATATTTATATGTAATAACAGTATTTTAATTTATATCAAATAGATATTAAAATATTAAAATTTTAATTTTATATTTAATTATATATATATATATATATTAATTTTAGAGGAGAGAAACTAATTTTACGAAAAATAATGGCCATTTTTTTAATTAAAAAAATGTCAAATGAAAGAGGGAAAAGTGGTGCCACCTGTTTACTTTCTAATACTGTCGGCTGACGTGGCCTCCAGGGAAGCATTCGCCCACGTGATTGGCCCCCACCTGTCCCCTGCTTTTCCTCCATTTACCAACTATTTTTCCTCCCAAGTTAAATTATAAATTTAATTTTATAAATAAATAAAAAATGTTAAATTACCCATTTAGTTCATAAACTTTTAAATGTAATTAATATATATATTTTTAGTTATTTTGTGTTTTATGTATCTGAATTTTAATTTTTTTAAAAATTAATTAATGAATATATAATTTTAATTTTATTCTAATCTAGTAAATTCATAAAAAAAATTTAAAAGATTATATACTAAATAAACATATATATATATATATATATATATATATATATATATTTTTTGTCTTTATTGATTCATTAACGTTTAATAAATAAATAAT